TTAAGAAAAATTTAAGAGACTCATTGGGCTAATTAATCGATATTCTGAGTATTTTCTCGCATTGTGTTTTTAGGTATTAAGACAAAGATGGATTTGAGCCAATCTGTGGGAATCACTTCGGTGTTATACAGATTTGGAAAAATTTATATGGAACATAGGATGTCTAATACAATAACTCAGATCCTCTGAATTACAATTAACCAGTGTAAATTTCAATACAACGTCGCGATGTTTTATAATTAATTCATTTGTTCGACTGGAGTCTGCATTCATGCCGCGATGCTGCCAGTAAGTGTAAAGATGGAACACGGCTAGAGTGCATGACAATTCGCCGAAAACTTACGTATTTATAAATGTAGATAGAATTAAAAATATTATTTACCAAAAAAAGGTTATGTTCTATTGACAAAACGGCTTGAAAAAAAAGTAGATTTCTAAAAATAAAAATAAAAAGGAATTTCAAAAATAAAATAATAATACACTCTTTTGAATTTGAAATTATAAACAATATTTAAAATAATAAATGTAGTTAAATATAAATTTGATCATTCAAATAACACTTAATGGACACAAACAAAATTGATGTTAGAATGTTATAATAATGAGGATGTGGAGATAATAAAACATTATTTATTATCTCCACAAAACTGGACTTTCAGGAAAAATCGGTAGACGGAGCAACACTGTCAGCGTGTCACAAACGCTACTACAAACCACAGAGGAGAGGCAATCCAGTGGAACAAATAAATTAGTTATAAAACATCGCGACTTTATACAGAAATTTACACTGGTTAATTATGTGTATATTGAATTAAAAAGTCTTACTACTACTTTAAGTTATTATCCTCTATTAGTTTCAGCAACACAGTTGGTGTATCATCTGGACTACAAGTTTTTCTAATTTTAGCATTATTTATAGCGTGTTCTACCTCGCATTTCATCATTTCTGGGCCGTTAATGCAGTTTTAGTAGAATTCGGCAATATTATTCCTGTCATCTTCAAACAGTAACTATACAGCTGCCATTCTTTTCTTATTTCGTGTTCATTTTCAATAATTTTGATATTATTGTCAACGAGTACAAGGGGAACTTGTTTTTTAAATATGTTACTCATTTCTTTTAGTTTTTTCTGCATATTAAATAAGTCGTGTTTAGATATTACATCCTCCATTTCGTCGCATCTGTCTCTCATCCATTTTTCTTTGGCTAATTTGATTTTCTTTTTTTATTCTTCTTAATTCTTAATGTTCCATTAATTTTAAGATGTCGTCTGTCATTCATTTATTTTTCTTGATTAAGTTTTTTCTATAATCATTATTTGTGGAGATTTCGTTAACTTGGTTTTTAAATTCCCTCCATAATTCTTCTGGATCTTCTAGTTGTTCTCCGATGTTTTTTATTCTATTGTTAAATTCTTTTTTAATGTTATCTTTTATGTTTATATCGTCAAAGTTAAGTACATAGGTTTTTGGTTTTTGTCGCTGAATTCGTTTTAACATTAGTTTAATATCTATTGCAAGTGGTTCATGATCAGATCCAATATCTGTCCCAGGAAATGTAGTGACTTTTTTGACGGCATTTCGGAAACGCTCATTTACAAGTATATAGTCTATTTGATTTCTTGAGGACAAATGGTTATTGCCATCATCAAATGGGGCTTTCCAAGTGTATAGTCGTCGCTTGGGTAGTTTATACCAGGGATTTGTAATTTCATACCATATTTTTTACAATTCCACTAGGAAACTAAGTTCCTGTAGCTGGCTGTATACCATATATCACAAAAAATTTATTTAAAATCCTTTATAAAAGGTATATAATAAAATGCCCAAACGGGCTATCACAAAGATATTGCAAAACGTTTTCGGATTATTAAATCCATCATCAGTGCAAACCTGGAAGTAAATAACCACTTTAATTAAAAGAACGTTGAATTTAAAATGTTGACTAAGGTTAAAAAACATTGTGGTTAATACTTACGAGGTATACATGCTATGAGCCACCAAAATATATGGGTCCAAACCCTTTAAATGATATAAATTTACATTTGATTTACATTATATGTTGTTACAAATTATGATGTTTAAGTTACCGTTGGAATTGGTAACATGGCGACGTATGACCCTACATAGGTAAAATGGTCCTGAGACGAAGTGTCTTCGAGGACCTGTTGATAACAACTGATCAAAATGACATTGTTGACATGTTAGAACGGATGTTGTGTCAGAGCAGTCAGTGTAACTTACGGTAGTTGTCTAAAAATGACAGATGTTAGCATTATTTAAAATTGAAAAAATTAAAATTATAATAATGTAACAGTATCAACCATCAATGTTGTAGTCTGTAATGTGAATTAATCATATGGCTATATTGGAATCATTGAAAATTTGGTTTTTAAAAAATTAATGTGGGTAAACCCAAGTTTACAGTCTACAGTCGGGGCATAGATTTGAAGTATGTTAGTTTTAAATGGTTGAGTATTTATTTGGAGTAATATTATTCTATCCGAGACTGGTACGAAATTGGTTACATATTTACTCAGTTCTGATGTTACTAATATACCTACACCATTTTTTTGATATGGTATCTACTTATTCACTTTAAAAAGTAGTTTTAACAAGATAGAGCCAAGATGATGTGAAGATTAAAGAAAGTGCGGTCTAAAGGTAGAGTGCGGCTAAAGAATAATGTATATATCACGACAATCTGTTCCAAAATTGGAATAGTCATGTTAATCGACAACATCTGAAATGCATAGGCACCGTACGAAGAATAAGAAGAACCATACACTGATAACATATATTTCTCCCAAATACTCTGAATTGATGTTTGTTTATAAATACTTAGACCTTACAACGGTAAGGGTCAAATTAGGGTTCTATAAATCATTACTTTGGTTGCAATTAAAACAGCGATTATCATGAGAATATGATCTAGAGATGTTTTGAAAAGTAATGTTGCTTTATAATGACTCTTGTAGAACCTGGATTGAAATGGATGACACCTCGCTTTTGACGGATCAATATTATGGATTTAATTATTTGATAGAATGGGAAAAATAAGAACTCTAACATTAGTTTTTGTAGTAGATGACATTATTTCTATCAGCTAGAAGAGACTTAATCTGAATACTTCCCAAGTACTTTATAAGATCAATTAAAGTTTATTTGAATCTCAAATAAGGTCCAATAATAATACGTCAATTTCCGATATTTAAAATTAAACTAAAACCTTTCTTATTTGTATATACAGAAATAAAGTCACCCAAAATATTACAGGACTCGCTAACAGAATCTCATCATCGTCATTTTGGTTTTACAACCCTGCGTGTGCCCTAGCCTCCTTAAGAATTTTTCTCTACTCATCCCTATCCATTGCCTTTTGCCGTCAAGCACGTATTCCCATATTTCTCATGCCTTTATCGGTATTATCAAGAAACCTTGTTCTGGGTCTTTTTCTTCTTTTCTGACCAATGGGTCTATCAAGGAACGTTTTTCTAGTTGGCTAATTTTGTTTCATCCGCATTACATGGCCTATCCATCTTAGATGTCCTATCTTAATATGTTTTACGATATCAGGTTCCTGGTATATTCTATAAAGTTCGAAGTTGTATCGTCTTCTCCACACTCCATTGTCATTCACTGCTCCATAGATTCGCCTTAGTACTTTTCTTTCGAAACATACTATCTTTTCATTATTTTTTGTTAGAGTCCAGGTCTCTGAACCATATATTAGGACTGGGCGTATTATTATTTCTCGATATAATTGTGTATTTAAGGAGGAGATTAAGCCCAAAAGACTATCTGTTGGCCACGCAAATTCTACGGTTTATCTCTACAGTAGTATTATTTTCAGTGTTAAGGAGCGCTCCCAGGTATACAAATTCGTTCACTGCTTCGATGACGTCGTTTTCTATAACAAGTGGTCGTAGGATTTGTGGTTGCGTGCTTATTTTCATATGCTTCGTTTTGTTGGTGTTTATTATTAAACCCATTTTTGTAGCTTATTCTTTTAATGCTACATACGCCTCTTGTACAACATTTTCTGTTCTCCCAACAATATTGATATCATTAGAGTACGTCAGGATTTGCACTGATTTATTATATATTGAACCAGTGGTTGTGATTTGTGATATACGTATTACTTTTTCCAGAGCCAGATTGAACAGTATACAGAAAAAATATATTTTGCAAAAAACAAGAAAAATGAGAACTAGTTTAACAAATATTCACATACATATTAAATTAGAGTTTAATGTTAGTATTGAGAATAAACTAAAAAATGTCATATGAACTACTTACCATGTCGGGATAGTATTCCGAGTTTTTTCCTGCCATTCCTCATGATTTATAATGGAATCACTAACAGGAGAATTTTACTGTCATCGTTACATGTGGTTTCCACTTTAACCTCAAATCACATGATATAATTGTTCTTGCAAGTATTCTCAAGTTAAAGTTGATTTCATGTAATCGAATGAACCGTATTCCAATAAACTGGTCTCAGGATGGCACCAATAAAATATTGACGATATTGACATCCACTCTAAAATGTATAATATATGCCTGAAGTGTCAATATGATGTAGGCAGGTAAAATGAAATTAGTAGAAGAATATTTTGTGTTACCATATATAACAAAACAAAATAATTTTTTAAATTAGTTTATTGAGAAGGATTTCCAGTGCAAATCGAAACGACAAAATATACGTGTTTTTAGAAATTTTGTTGAAACCCCAATAAAAATAGCATCTAAGTAAAAAACTATGCAGCAGAAAAAATGCAAGTAGAATAATAAAATGAATTATTATCAGAAAGTTTGGCGATAAATATTATACTTTGGAATAAATTCTAGAAAAATAAATCTTATGCATCTATGCAACTATGTAGCAACTACAAAGTCGAAAAAGTAGCTTTAACAAACAAGATATAGACAAGATGATGTGAACACTAAACAAACTAAAGAAACTGGCACAAATGGCAGTAAAAGAAAAAAATGACAAGAATGCAAGTTTTAAGAAAAAGAACAGAAGATTCACATAGATCAAGAGGTAAAGCAGGTGGACTCAACCTATCTCTCCAATACTCTTTAAACTGGTAGTCGAGCAAATTCTAAGAAAATGAAAAACAAATAACAAGAATATACTTATAAACGACATATAAACAATTGCATTCGCAGATGATTCAGTAGTCTTAAGGAAAGCAAAACCAGTGTGATTAAGGTCAATAACGAACTAGACTGAAACTAAGAAAATATGGGTTACAAATGAACTAAAAGATAACAAAATAGTTGGAAGTAGGAACGAAAAAACAAAAAAACAAACGGGGTAACTGAACACCCACAAGTCCACTTTGGATAAAGTAACTATATTCACTACCTGGTACTGACCACGAAAATAACTGGAAAATACTTTAAGAAAGAATTGTAACGTGAAATCGTCGTGTAAGCGTCGAGAAAAAAGATAGGCTAAAATAAAAAAAAAACATAGAAAACTAACAAAATTTAAGATAGACTGAACATAGGAAGCACTGAACAAAAATAACAGATAAAAAAGGAGAAGACTTAGCTTAAAGAATGAAAAAAATCTTAAAAGCTGGCATCACCCTATATGGAGGAGAGAGAGAGAGAGAGAGAGAGAGAGAGAGAGAGAAAGAGAGAGAGAGAGAAAGAAAGAGAGAGAGAGAGAGAGAGAGAGAGAGAGAGAGAGAGAGAGAGAGAGAGACTACGTCAAAGCGTAAACCAGCGACAATTCTGAGTAAAAAAACAGGACACTCTGTGTAATACACTTTAATATGGCGTAGAAAATATCATCTCCTAAATATTCATCCCTTAGTTACAACCCCTAACTTTAATTTTTTTAATAGTACCCTGTATATTTTTTTATAGTTTTGGACGTGGTCTTCTATCGTCTATTCAACAAATTTATTAAAAATAAAATCGGTTTGTAAATAATCAAGAAATCATTTTATTTTTTATTTTTGTTAATTAAGTGTCCCAGACTAAATTATCCAGGCTATACAATGTGGTCCATATGTATGGAATAAATTCATTTTTAGCGTTATTATGTACTATATGAAAAAAACCTGAAACATGTCGATTTTTATTCTTAAATTGACAATTTACAGTATGAAAATAATATCCCCCTCCAGCAGCCCCTTTGAATTATAAGCACCCCCTCGAAAATTTTAAATAGCAAAGGGGGTTGTGTAGCACCTTGTTAGAAAGGGATTTTAGTCCTATGTTCATCAATGTAAAATTTTTTGAGTTTGTATAATTATAACTTAACAAAATTAATTTTTACAATATTAGGGTAAAGTGTGCAAATCGCGGTCACCTAAGAAAATTTAATATAAAAAAAAGTAAAACTCTGTGAATCAAATTTAAGCCGTCAATCCGTAATTTGGGGTTTTAACTTATTGCAAGATACATTTAATTTCAAAAATATAAAATTTTTGTCTTTGACAGAGACAAAACATAAAAAAGTATCTTTGACCGGTATTGTCACCATACATGGACAATACCGGTCATGAGTGTGGGTAATGCCAGTCAATTTGTTTGTGTTATTATTAAAATAAAAATCAATATCTATTTAACATTTTTTTGTTATAAAACGATTAACGAATGTGGCTTAATGGGTCATAATTCAAGTAAATCAGTAAGAAAGGTGAAAAAATATTTTTTATTACAAAGCAAACAAAAAATAACAAAAATATGTGTTTTCATGTAAAAATAGTTGACAGTCATCGCAGGTATAACTCTCTGCAGAATCCCATCGACTGCACTCTGAATAAGCCCATCGTGAGCAAACGGTAAATATATACCACAATTCATTGTTTTTGCCAAACTCACTGTAAACCAGGCATCTATCTTCGTATGCTAATTTTCTCAGTTCTATTGCTGTTACGCCATAAAAAATTAAGCTAAATTTTTTTTGTGTGTGGCTATTTTAGCTTCTTGTTCGGCAGAAAATACTGATTTTCTACCTAATGAAACACCTTGAAGATTTTTATTTTTTATTTTTTCTTGCAATGTCAAAAAATGGATGGATTAATCCCTAAGGATTAATAGTATAGGGTATAAATTATAGCATGGGGGTAATACCGGTCAACTGACCGGCATTTCCTCCTGTTGGCATTTTTTTTCTTAGAATTATTTACTCGTAAACATGTATTAAAATATTGATCTTTAAAAAAGGAATAGGCAGCTAACGTCATTATAATCAATTGTAACCAATTTTAAGATCTAGAAGTGAATAAAAATGAATTAAGACCTTATATTACTCAGCATAAAAATAAGATCGAAAACACTGAAAACAGGTTAATAATATTTCTATGACAATGGTTTGCGCCAACTCAACGCTCGTCAGCAATCTGAATACAGAGTAGTGTAGCGACACGTTGGCAGTTATAGGAGGTTGCCAGATTGAATAGATTTCGCACAATCGGGATGACCGCCATTACCCACTGACCGGTATTTGCACAGTTTACCCTAAACTAAATGTTCAACTTCACCACTATTATTCATTTCTTGACAATAACCGAGGCGATTTTGGAATTCTCATACAACATTTTGTATGACCTCGGGGGTTATTTTGTTAATTTCTTCCGTTATCCTAACTTTTATATCAGCAATATTGCCTGGTCTATTAAAATATACTTTAGAAATAATCAGGTATTTTCGTATCTGTTCTGCTAAACATTAGGGAAAAAACTTTAAAGATAATAAAATATTAGTCAAAAAGCCAAATAAACAATTGATATGAATCTAGTAGGCTGCTGTCATTTTGGTATTTAAGGTTACTAGAAGACGTGAGTATAATATTTGTGCGCGTATTAAATTTAATTATGGCTCATTTGTCCGAGACTAAAAGAATAGACATTTTAACTATGATTGGTTGTGGTAATAAAACAAGAGCTCAAAATGAGGTTTGTGAAATGTTAATAATGAATACCCTGGTCAACAAGTTTCGTAGTCTACAGTTAGCACAATTGCAAAGAACTTTCTTTATACTGGACATGTAAAAAATATTGAAAAACCAGGTAGAAATAATAAATTTATTGATGAAAAAAAGTTAGATGTACTTCTAGAGATTGAGGAAAATCCGCATAAGACAACTCGAGAACTTGCCGCCATCAATGATGTAAGTAAATCATCTATTTTGAGAGTTTTACATAAAGAAAAAACCACCCTTACAGAGTTCAGTTGGTTCAGGAGATAAATGAAGATGATCCTGATAGAAGTCAAGATATGATATGAAATCTGTGAAATGATGATGGACAGAATAAACGCAGATTTTCAGTTCATAAACAAAATAGTTTTTTTTTCGAATTAAGCGACGTTTTATTTAAACAGAACGGTTAACAAACCGAACTGTAGATATTGGAGCAGAGAAAATCCTCACTGAGTGTGTCAGACTCACACGCAATATCCTAAAAAATTAACGATTGGGCTGGTATTAATAACAATAAAATTATTGGTCCTTATTTTTTGAGGACACACTAAGAATAATTGTAGAACAGTCACAGGAATTCAACTCTCCTCTCTTTGTGTGCTTTGTGGACTTCAAGAGAGCTTTTGACACGCTCACACATACGGCCATATGGAAAGCACTGCAGGAAATAGGAATACCAGAAAAATAGTAAATCTCATCAAAGAACTTTACAGTGACACAGAAAGCAAAATCCTACAAAACGGCATAACATCTGACCCAATAGCTATGCTAAACGGAGTAAAGCAGGGCTGTGTTTTATCCCCCATACTATTTAACATTGTACTGGACTCCGTACTAACAAAGGTAAACTCTAATAGAGGAATTTACTGGGGATTAACAAACAGACTGGAAGACCTAGATTACGCTGATGATATATGCCTCCTAGCACATACAAAACAGGACATGCAACTCCAAGTAAACAAAGTACAAGAAGAATCAAAGAAGGTTGGTCTAGAAAGAAACATCAACAAAACCAAAGAAATGCGATTTGGTACCAGAAACAACCAACCTATTATGATCAACGACCAGAAAATTGAGAGAGTAGCGGAATTTGTATATCTGGGCAGCATAATTGACTGTAATGGGGGTACAGAGCGTGATGTACATGAAAGAATAAATAAGGCTCGCAACGCCTACAACATGCTTAACAATATATGGAAATCCAGGATTTACCCAACTAAAACGAAATTAAAAATCTTCAACACAAATCTAAAAGCTGTATTACTGTATGGCTGCGAAACGTGGAAGATATCAGCACCCATAGTACACCAATTACAAGTTTTCGTCAATAGAGCGTTACGAAAAATCCTTCGTATATTTTGGCCTAACCGAATCTCCAATGAAAATTTATGGAACCAAAGCAACCAAGAAAATGTCATAAAGCAAATAAGGCGAAGAAAATGGAGATGGCTGGGCCACACACTCCGTAGACCGCCAAATGACATTGCCAGAACAGCGCTGGATTGGAATCCCCAAGGCCATCTTATTTTTTGAGGGCGCAGTTGATGATGAGGTTTATCTAGATTTTTTTATTAACTTTTTAGTGCCTACATTACGAAGATTTTTTCCTAATGTCAATCATCCAAATTAGATAGATGGACCTTTTTACTACCAAGAAGGTGGAGCTCTACCGTATTTTGTACTTATAATTAGAAATTATTTATACGAGGTTTTTCCCAATAGGTGGATTGAAAGACGTTGAACAATCGAATAGCCGGCTAGATCCCCGCTTTGACTCCTCTCGATTACTTCTTATGGTTATTTAAAATCTAAAGTATAATTTACTAGACCAAACAGTATTGCTGATTGAAAAGTTGGGATAACGGAAGAAATTAACAAAATAACTCCCGGAGTCGTACAAAATGTTGTACGAGAATTCCAAAATCGCCTCGGGTATTGTCAAAAAGTGAATAGTGGTCATTTTGAACATTTAATTTAATTGTAAAGTACATTGAAAAATACATTCTAAATATTATGTGACATTATTATCTTCATTCAACCTAAAGTTTTGTGGTAAAGACATTATCAAAGTTTTACATTTTAAAAATCAATTTTCTAGG